CACGGCGGCAAGCAACGGAAGTTGCGAGGAGTCTGACCGCCGGGACCTAGGGGTAGGTGGAGGAAGGAGGATGGGGGGGAGGAGGGCAAGGCTGGGGAAAGAGGATGAGGGAAAGGAAGAGAGGATGCAAGAGGGAAGGATAGGAACAGGAGGGCGGAGGGATGAGGGAGGAGAAGGGTGCTGAAGAGGAGGAGGGAGAGGAACTGGAAACACGATCTACTTACAGTCGGCATGTCACGCCACCGTGCCCGGGTTGTGGGTCTGAGGCTTGTGCGATGTTCGCTGGGATCTCTGGGGAGGCATCTCGCAGGCTTCGTGGGGGTAGTTTCGAAGTTCACTGAGGGCCGTTTTGGGGCCTCTTGGGGCCTCTTTCGGGCCTTTCGGACGCTTTTTTGAAGTTTTTTGGGGGTCTCTTGGGACCTTTCGGGCGGCTCGTGGGGTGTCCCAGGGCCAGGTGGGAGCGGATGGCTCGGATTATCGGTTCGGGCTCCGCCGCTGGGGCCCCTCTAGGAGCCGTCTTGAAACTCTTCTGGGCCGATTCGGGAGCCTCTGGGGCCGTCTTGGCGCCGTTTTGGGCCGTTTTGGGCGGTTTTTGGGGACCCTTTTGGGACGTCAGGGCCTCGTAGACTGGCTGCAACTCCGCGCAGGCTGAAAAATCGCCGATGCTTAAAATGTACGTTTCCCAATGGAAAACCAATGATTGTCGCTGCTTTGGACCTTCTTGGAGCGCCCTTTTCGGGGCCTCTTGGAGCGTCTTGGAGGCATCGTGGGCTGTCTTGAGCCCATATTGGGGAATCTTGGAGCCACCGAAGGCCACGTGGAGGTCCTCTTGAGCCGTCGTGGTGCGTCCCGGGGCCATTTCGAGGCCACCGGAGGAGTCCCTGCAGAATTTTCGGGAGCGGTTGACCCCCCCGGGGGAACCAGGGGAACCGGGGAATTTGAACAGACCCCCCCCCCCCGTCCAAATCGACCAGACCGGGCTCCCGGGGGAGGGGTTTGGGGAGGGGGAAGAACTCACACGCCGATGAACCCCAAGGGGTCGGCGGATTTAGGCCAGGCCTCTGTGCCTCTACAGGAGGAGTATTCGAACATAGCCAAAATAATATGGGAACGATTTTTCTAGTATTTGTTTGACTGATTTTGTGGATGTTTTGGTTGTTTTTGATTTGTCCTCCAGAATTCTGCCTGTAGGGAGACATGACGATCTAAAGCTTGATGTAGGTTCATGGGGGCCCTGGGTGGCGACATGGATCGCAGTTTTTCCTGCAAATGGACCGCACTTGAAGTCATGAACCCTTCCCGCTCCTCCTCCCCCTCGTTCTTCTTGCCTCCATTGTTGAGTCGGGCGTGTCCTCCTACAGGCGGATGCTAAAAATTATAGCCGGAGTGCAGTATCCCAAAACAGGGTTTTTAGACCCACTGCGGTTTCCAAGGTCGATCGTGTGCCCGTCCAGTGCGGGCTGGCATGGCATGTCAAAACGTGCCTTCTCCTCCTCCTCCTCCTCCTCCTCCTCTTCATCCCGAGCGGCATCTCGGAACCCAGAGTTGCGAGGATGTCTCCAGCGTAATGGGTTGGACCACCTCGCGCGCGGCATTTCGGACCCCAGAGTTGCGACGATGTCTCGGGCGAAACGTGCTGCGAGGAAGTCTCAGGCGAAACGGGCCGGACCACCTCGAGCGCGGCGTCTCAAAGCTCCGAGTTGCGGGGGCCTCCTGGGGCCTCCTGGGACCTCCTGGTGACGTCCTGGGGCTTCCTCCTGGGCCTCCAGTGGCCTCCTGGACCCCACCTGGGGCCTCCTGAAGCCTCTTGGGGCTCCCAGGGGGGGATATCTAACATGTGGCCGTCGGGGCCCCCAAGAATGGGGGTGGGGCCACAAGAGCAGGAAAAATCAACGAATCGGCGCCGGATGTGTATTAACTTGACATGTTTTGATAGGGGGCCTCCTGGGGCCTCCTGGGAGCCTCCTGGGAATCTCCTGCGGACCCCTGGAGCCTGTCCTGGGCGTCCTGCGGCCTCCTGAAGCTCTCTGGGGCCTCCTGGGGCTCCCAGGGTCCCAGGGGGGATATGTAGCATGTGGTCTTCTGGGCCCCCAGGCTGGACCACCTCTTGCGCGGCATCTGAGAGCTCAGAGTTGCGAGAATGTCTTGTGCGAAACAGGCCGGACCACCTTGCGCACGGCATCTCAGAGGGCATAGTTGCAAAGATGTCTCAGGCGAGATGGGCCGGACCACCTCGCGCAGGGCATCTCGGAGCCCAGAGTTGCGAGGATGTCTCCAGCGTAACGGGCTGGACCACCTCGCGCGCGGCATTTCGGACCCCAGAGTTGCGACGATGTCTCGGGCGAAACGTGCTGCGAGGAAGTCTCAGGCGAAACGGGCCAGACCACCTCGAGCGCGGCGTCTCAGAGCTCCGAGTTGCGGGGGCCTCCTGGGGCCTCCTGGGACCTCCTGGTGACTTCCTGGGGCTTCCTCCTGGGCCTCCTGTGGCCTCCTGGACACCACCTGGGGCTTCCTGAAGCCTCTTGGGGCTCCGAAGGGGATATCTAACATGTGGCCGTCGGGGCCCTCCAAAATGGGGTGGGGGCCACAAGAGCAGGAAAAATCAACGAATCGGCACCGGATGTGTATTGACTTGACACGTTATGATAGGGGGCCTCCAGGAGCCTCCTGGGAATCTCCTGCGGACCCCTGGGGCCTGTCCTGGGCGTCCTGCGGCCTCCTGAAGCTCTCTGGGGCCTCCTGGGGCTCCCAGGGTCGCAGGGGGGATATGTAGCATGTGGTCTTCTGGGCCCCCAGGCTGGACCACCTCTTGAGCAGCATCTGAGAGCTCAGAGTTGCGAGAATGTCTTGTGCGAAACGGGCCGGACCACCTTGCGCACGGCATCTCAGAGGGCATAGTTGCAAAGATGTCTCAGGCGAGATGGGATGGACCGCGCGCGCGGCATCTCCGAGGTTAGAGTTTCGAGGATGTCTCCAGCGTAACGGGCTGGACAACCTCGCGCGCGGCATCTCGGACCCCAGAGTTGCGACGATGTCTCGGGCGAAACGTGCTGCGAGGAAGTCTCAGGCGAAACGGGCCAGACCACCTCGAGCGCGGCGTCTCAGAGCTCCGAGTTGCGGGGGCCTCCTGGGGCCTCCTGGTGACCTCCTGGGGCTTCCTCCTGGGCCTCCAGTGGCCTCCTGGACCCCACCTGGGGCTTCCTGAAGCCTCTTGGGGCTCCGAAGGGGATATCTAACATGTGGCCGTCGGGGCCCTCCAAAATGGGGTGGGGGCCACAAGAGCAGGAAAAATCAACGAATCGGCACCGGATGTGTATTAACTTGACACGTTCTGATAGGGGGCCTCCTGGGAGCCTCCTGGGAATCTCCTGGGGACCCCTGGAGCCTGTCCTGGGCGTCCTGCGGCTTCCTTAAGCTTTCTGGGGCCTCCTTGGGCTCCCAGGGTCCCAGGGGGGATATGTAACATGTGGTCTGCTGGGCCCCCAGGCTGGACCACCTCTTGCGCGGCATCTGGGAGCTCAGAGTTGCGAGAATGTCTTGTGCGAAACGGGCCGGACCAACTTGCGCACGGCATCTCGGAGCTCAGAGTTGCGAAGATGTCTCAGGCGAGACGGGCGAAACGTGCTGCGAGGAAGTCTCAGGCGAAACGGGCCGGACCACATCGAGCGCGGCGTCTCAGAGCTCCGAGTTGCGGGGGCCTCCTGGGGCCTCCTGGGGCCTCCTGGTGACCTCCTGGGGCTTCCTCCTGGGCCTCCTGTGGCCTCCTCGACCCCACCTTGGGCTTCCTGAAGCCTCTTGGGGCTCCCAAGGGGGATATCTAACATGTGGCCGTCGGGCCCCCTCCAAATGGGGGTGGGGCCACAAGAGCAGGAAAAATCAACGAATCGGCACCGGATGTGTATTAACTTGACACGTTCTGATAGGGGGCCTCCTGGGAGCCTCCTGGGAATCTCCTGCGGACCCCTGGAGCCTGTCCTGGGCGTCCTGCGGCTTCCTGAAGCTCTCTGGGGCCTCCTGGGGCTCCCAGGGTCCCAGGGGTGATATGTAACATGTGGTTTTCTGGGCCCCCAGGCTGGACCACATCTTGCGCAGCATCTGAGAGCTCAGAGTTGCGAGAATGTCTTGTGCGAAACAGGCGGGACCACCTTGCGCACGGCATCTCAGAGCTCAGAGTTGCGAGAATGTCTTGTGCGAAACGGTCCGGACCACCTCGCGCAGGGCATGTCAGAGCTCAGAAGTTCGAGGATGTCTCAGGCGGGCTCCCAGGGTCCCAGGGGGGATATGTAGCATGTGGTCTTCTAGGCCCCCAGGCTGGACCACCTCTTGCGCAGCATCTGAGAGTTCAGAGTTGTGAGAATGTCTTGTGCGAAACAGGCCAGACCAGCTTGCGCACGGCATCTCAGAGCTCAGAAGTTCGAGGATGTCTTAGGCGAAACGGGTGGCATCTCCGAGGTTAGAGTTTCGAGGATGTCTCAGGCGAAACGGGCCGGACCACCTCTCGCGCGGCATCTCCGAGGTTAGAGTTTCGAGGATGTCTCAGGCGAAACGGGCCGGACCACCTCGCGCAAGACATCTCAGAGGTCAGAGTTTCGAGGATGTCTCAGGCGAAACGGCCCGGACCACCTCTCGCACGGCACCTCGGGGCTCAGAGTTTCGAGGATGTCTCAAGCGAAACGGCCCGGACCACCTCTCGCGCGGCGTCCCGGAGCGCAATTTTTCGAGGATGTCTCAGGCGAAACGGCCAATCCCGGCCAAGTCAGAAACGAGAGTTGTGAGGATGTCTCAAGCGAAACGGCCTGGACCATCAAATTTTTGTGAGGATGTCTCTGCTCCGACTTCCCTCGGCCAGAGTTAGCTTTTATCACACCAGCACCCCGTTCAGCAAGCTGTTTGGGGAAAAAGGTTGTTTGATTGTTGTTTGACTATTTTTGGATATTCCTCTTCTGGAGTGACACGCCCGACTTAACTCCACTGTGAAGGGGCACATCTGGTCCAAATTCTGCTTAAATCCAGTCCCGCATCATGCCCAAATCGGGCAGCGCCCGAGGCCGCGTAGACTCCCATGGAATGGACACCACAGCGAAGCCAGCACGCTGCGGCTCCCATCTGCGACCGCTGCGCAGACGCTGGCCTCCCAAGAAATCCGGGCCTCGCTCTGTTCGGGGCACGGACCAGTGGGTCCCAGGACCTTTCCAGCACCGTCGTGCCGGCGCGTCCTGCGTTGGCTCTGGCCCTCCTCGCCCTCCTCCGCGCCCCGCCGGCCCCCGTCCCTCCTTCTCGCCCCCCTTCCTCCCTCCTCCTCCTCCTCCTCCTCCTCCTCCTCCTCCTCCTCCTCCTCCTCCTCCCTCCTCCTCCCTCCTCCTCCCTCCTCCTCCTCCTCCTCCCTCCTCCTCCCTCCTCCTCCCTCCTCCTCCCTCCTGGACCCGTTTTTCGTTGTGAATCCTCTATTGACTGTCCCGAGGCCCGGCGAGGGCCCCCTCGGGGCCGAAAATCGCCAAACAAAACTCTTCCCGCCCTGGTTTTGGTTCACGACGCGATCCACGTCTGGGCCCCCTGGCCGCCCGATGGGCGGGTCCCCCCTCGCTCGGGGCAGCACCTGCCTTGCTTTTTTGCTTTTGTTTTTTGCCGCGGGCGCCAGAGTCCACTGGACGCAAGACTCACCTTTCGCCGGAGTGACCATTGGTGCGGGCACAGATGGGTACCCGGATGGCTGGAAACGAAGCAGTAGCAGCGGCTTGCGCGCCCAGCTTTTGGCCCCCCCGCGGCCCCCCCAAAGGTCGCGCACCAAAGGTCACTCTTACCCTTTCTCCTCCTTCTCCTCCTCCTCATCCTCCTCCTCCTCCTCCTCCTCCTCCTCCTCCCTCCTCCTCCTCCTCCTCCTCCTCCTCCTCCTCCTCCTCCTCCTCCTCCTCCTCCCTCCTCCTCCCTCCTCCTCCCTCCTCACTCTTGCGTGTAGCCGACAGAGCGAGGCGCCAGAGCGCGCCTCGCGTGGAACCGCCGCCCCCGGCCCTGCCTGCGCCCGCTCCCCTCCCGCCGGGCGCGGGGGCCACGCCTCGCGGTGCTGCTCGTCCCTCGTCCCCTCTCCGCGGTGTCGCTCGAGCGCGCGGTCTGTTGCACATCAGGAGGGGGAAAAAAAAACATACACAATTCATCGTCGATGGTTCCCCAGAAAATGTGGGAAAAGATGGGGAGTGGGGGGAAGACGAAACCCTAGAAAATATGATCAAAGATGGGGACTCCAGTTATTTGTGTCTAGTTATTTGTGTGTCCCAGGGCCCCTTCAGTGCAGTCAGCCCGCACAGTAAGGGTGGGCAGCCTTCCCAAGGAGACCCTTGCCTCATTGGCCCGCCTTGGACAGCCTTGGCCACTCTCGTCAAGCGCGCCCCGCTCGAGAAGCTTGGGGAAGCGGCCCCCCGAGGCCCTTTTGCATCCTTATAATGCGTGTCCTGGTGAGACGGGTTTGCCGCATTTCGAGCATAGGAGGTTAACCACAGACTTGATTTACCCCGAATTTTATCTTCCCGCCGAGTATACAAAACATGCGTATCACGTCCCGTCGATATACGAAGCTTCTACGCGTTTTTCCACATTCGGCGGGTAGCCCAAATTTGGGGAACATCGATTATTTAGACGACCGTTACTCTAATATTTTCCGCGTTCCTTCATGGATCCACCTGCTCCATTTTGACCCTTGCAGTGCGGAGTCCGATCGCTTCCGGTGACGCCCGTGGAAGACGCACAGGAAACCGCGTCCGAGCGACGGCGAGCTCCCTGGAGGCGAGACAGACCGACAGACTTTCGGCCAGTGGCCGGGGTGGGCGAAGGAGGCGGGCGGGGTGGGAACCGGGGGGAGGACGAGGAGGAGAAGGAGGAGGAGGAGGAGGAGGAGGAGGAGGAGGAGGAGGAGGAGGAGGAGGAGGAGGAGGAGGAGGAGGGGTGTGCATTGCGAAGTCCGCTGCGTTCCGCTGGTCGCTGGTTTGGGCTCCACCGCCGGGGTCACCGTTCTCCGCGAGGGGGGCCGCCCTGGGGGGCCCAGGCCCTCCCTGCAGCGATCCTGGCATCGCTCGGACGTGTGCATTTTTTCCCCGGCGAGGACCCTGCCTGGAGGAGCATCCTGGATCATCCTGGCAAAAAACCACGCACGAAACCAACAAAACGAAATTGCTGCATGCGGCTGGTGTCGCCCCCACCGAGAGCCAGCCGCATCGCAGCGGATTCCCAGGACCTCCCTGCAGCGGTCGTGTTCTTACAGTGTGGGCGTTGGTTGGGCCGGGCCGGACGGGACGAAAGGGGGGGGAAGTGGAAAGGGGGAGGGTACGAAATTTGCTGCATGCGGCTGGTGTCGGCCTCACCGAGGGGCCCCTTCCTCGATTTCTTGGCCGCCTCCGGCGCCGGGAGGCGCCGGGGAAACCAGCTACGCGAGATGATTCTCAAAGCCCCGCTTTGCTATTCCCCCCCTCTCGCCCGACCCGATTGAGGAATGTGCCCAGGAGGCGTCAGACCCTGGAGGACTCCTCATCTGGTGAGGGCGGCGGTGATACCCATAGCCAGTCCACGGTTGGGGCTGCACCGGCTTCCAGACCCTGGCTTCCTTATCCAATGGTTCTTCAGCCCTAACGGCTCAAGTCAACGATTTTCACGTGGGCCGGCGGCCCCCACATACCGTTTCCTGCGGGCGCGTCTCTCGATCCGTGACGCCAGATGCCTTCCAGCGCGGATGCATCGATTGCGTATTCTCGGCTGGAACCCGCAGAGCTGCACGGGTGACCGACAGGAGGGATTGGTCTCGGAACTTCGAAATTTTGACGCCGTGTTTTTGGCAGGCACGCAGTCCAGTGACTACCGCCGTACCTGCGCAGGTGCGCAAGTCCTCCGTCGACGTGTAGCACGACGGCTAGACAGAGAAGCGCCCTACGCCCCGTGCCAGCACGCGAACGCGAGTTGCGGATGTGCCATTGTGCTGGGCGGGGGCTTTGCAGAGCAGCATATCGTCTCAACATGGTGCTCACCAGACACAGCTCTCGGGAGGGCGGTGGCAGTGAGAGTGCAGCGAAGGCGACAATATCTAACCCTGATATCGCTCTACTTTCCGCCTCGTATCACTACGATTAAGCAGAAGCGCCTGTACATGAGTACGATCAAGATTTAGGCACATGGTTCAGGAATATCTTCGGACAGTTGCCAACAAGTACGATTCCGTTTTTGATTTGAATGACGGCATGGGTCTTCAGAAGAAGGGGGCGGGAACGGTGCGAGTTGAATCCATGGCTGTCGGGGTCCCGACATTGGAGCGATTCGAGGACGGAAAAGGCACTCTTTTTCGACAACTTCTGGAGGAGCATTGGCTGGGAGGCAGTGCGATTGGAGGCCGCAACTCACTTACCTTTCTCGGTGACACGTATATTTCAAGGATTAATTACATGAGCTACCCTGCTGACATGGAGCCGCTGGACCCGCGGACCGGCGCCAAACTCCAAGTTCAGCAGGGAGGTGCACCTCGCGATCATCTTCCCATTGTGTGCATGTTAGAGTACGCGAAGCACTCCCAGACGCCACCGCCACCTCCTCAACACCGTTGGGACCGCAACGCTTTTTGGATGGAGCTCAGGCGGGGGGTGCACAAGTATGACTTTCTGGAGCGACTGCGACTTTCTATGAATGGAATTGATCCCCGTTGTATGCGAGATAGTGCCCCACCAGAAGAGGTTGTCGACGCGATCGAAAAGCATATGGTGCAAGCTGGCGAGGAATTCTTCACGCAGGGCGCACGGGAACCACCGTGTGAGGGCCACGCGGAGTACAGCGCGGAGCGTCGGCATCTTCTCCTTCAGCGAGTACAGATTCGAGAGGGCAAGTACGATGGCCACGACGGAGGAGGCCAATGCCATGGGTAACCAGTTTAGATCTTTATCACAGTGGTCGAAGCACGCTCGGAGGCTCTTCCAACGACGCCGTCAGCAGCAGTACCAGGCCGAGGCCAGCGAGATGTGGAGGCACAGCCGCGCGCACGAGGATCGGCCCGAAGAAGAGGGGCGGCGCGATGATCAGGCCGCCTCCACTCCCAGCACGGGATTGGCTCGATGTTTGGTCACTGCCAGGCCACGCAGGTGGCATGGCAGTTCAGCGCCAGGATTACGATGTGCTTCGTGACGCCCAGGAAGGGCATTTTCAATGGCTTCCAGACCCTGCCCTTGTCGAGCTTGCCGAGGAGGGCTACTCTGCGGTCGTCAGGCACGCCATGCGTGCCAAGAAGCGGCGGGCGGTTCCAGCTGGCACGGCTCCTCTTGAGCTATGGCACACGTGTGTCTGCCCAAGCCTTGCAAGGACACCCCGCAGTACCAGGGCCTTGGGGCTTCAGAGGCCCCCCCCCCAGCACGGGCACGTTCAAGTTTCAGGGGGAGAAGAAACACACAGACACAAATAATCGTCGATTCCCCAGAAAAAAATTGAACATATGGGCCGCGGGGGGGAAGACAGAAACCCAGAAAATATAGGAAAATATTTGGAATAATTTAATTGGTGTGCATTTATTTGCGTGCCCCAGGGCCCCTTCCAAGTTGTTGTCCACGTGGGCCTCGCCAAAAGCAGGATGCATCAGCAGGCGCCCCTTTACTGGCGCGCTAGCACGGCCTGTGGGCTGAGGAAGTCGGGCCTCCCGGGTCCTCGAGGCCGTCGAGTAGTTCGCATCTTGCCATCGTTCAGTAAGGGCTATGTTGGGCGCCGCCTTCGGGGAGAACCTACGGCAATGGATTGCGGTTTCGTGAGAGGTCGTCGTCGTGAGTAAGCAGTCCTTTGTTCTCAGCTAGTCAGTCGCCGCTTAAGAGAGGGGGGGGTGGGCGCATGCAGCATGCTTGAAGGATTTAAGCGACACTTTCGGCAGCGCAGATCACGATGCGCTGGGCCAGGTGATTCAGCTTCACGCGAAGCCAGAGGACCAGGCGCCGCGTAGACACCGTCTTCGCCAGAGTTTGATTCCGTTCGACGCCTCCGACGGGCCGCTCGTTGCGCGGCCGTCGCAAGGAGGATGCATGGGCGACCTTCTTATTGTATCGGCGTTCCTGGGAGTTTTTAATTGTCCGATTCTGTCGCGGGGGGGGGGGGCGTTG